TGAGTGACGTAGGCATGTGGGCTGAGCAGTGGACACTGTTGGGCAAGTGACTTTAAACTGTAATGTGTTATTTATGACTAGTAATTTGTTACATTACAATATTACTGTATTTAAAATGTAAGACATTACATTACTATTGCAACACTTTTAAGTTACTCTCACCAAAAGAACTGCTGAACCAGGACTAAACCAGGTCTAAATCAGGACTAAACCAGAACTAAACCGAGGACTGAACCAGGACTAAACCAGGTCTAAACCAGGACTAAACCAGAGCTGAACCAGGACTAAACCAGGACTGAACCAGGACTAAACCAGGACTAAACCAGAACTAAACCAGAGCTGAACCAGGACTAAACCAGGACTGAACCAGGACTAAACCAGGTCTAAACCAGGTCTAAACCAGGACTAAACCAGGACTGAACCAGGTCTAAACCAGGACTAAACCAAAACTGAACCAGAGCTGAACCAGGACTAAACCAGGATTGAACCAGGACTAAACCACGTCTAAACGAGGTCTACACCAGGACTAAACCAGAACCAGACTGAACCAGGACCAAACCAGGACTAATCTTGGACTAGAACCTGGAATCTAGGACCGCCCCTGAGAGAACCCCAAGCCCGCAGAACAAAGTGTCTGTAAGGCGCAATCAGGCGTCAGCTGTGGTTAGCCCCGTGGAGCGTGGAGTTCTTTGACCTGTGGTCACCTGACAGTCTACACGGCCGCGTCTCCGCTTTTCATCGCTGCTGATGTCGCGAATTTGTATGAAGAAAAACCCACCACTTCAATCCAGGTTAAAAAAGCATTGTAACGCGTGTTACTCACATTTGTACAGAGTAAAAAAATTTTTTTTTTTTTTCACGCAGTAATGCCTTATATTACTGCATTACAGCAAAGAGCAATGCATTACAGTAATTTGTTACTTTTATAAAGTTTACCCCAACACTGGCATTGGATATGATCGTACTTAAATCCAAATCCACTTTATTTCTATAGGACATTTTACAAACAAAGCAGTTTCCAAAGTGCTGCACAGAGATCATAAAATGAAAACAACAAAAAGGTAAATTGCAAAAAATTTTGTCATAACCAGTCCTAACACAGTAAAACCAATAAAATCATAAAATAGCAGTAAATAAGTAAAATAGATCAAATAAAATAAATAAAAAACACAGAGGAGCACACAACTCACATGGTGTTTAAAGCCAGAGAATAAAAGTGGGTTTTAAGACAAGACGTGAAGTACTGTTACCGTATTTTCCGCACTATTAGTTGCTCTGGATTATAAGACGCACTGTCATTAAATGGTCTATTTTCAAACTTTTTTCACAAATAAACTGCCCCGGACTTTAAAGGAAACCCAACAGTGTGATGGGTGAGTGGTTTTGTTTGTTTGTTCGTTCACGGTGACTCTGGGCTTTGTTCAGTTGTGGCGTGTAGGGAGGGTGCTGTCTGGGACCAACTGGATTGTCGGCGTGTTCACAGTGACTCAGTTGTTCAGTTGTGTCTAGAAGTGGCACATTGCACTCGCTTTTTCGGTTCGTTCCTCCGTTCCGTTCCTCCGTTCCGTTCCTCGTCGGCGTGGAGTGATGAGTGTGTCTGTGGGTGTGTGTGTTTGTGTGTTCTGTGGGTGGTGCAGCTTTGTAGTTTACTGAAGTCGTGCTGGGACACCTGAGTGGATTCGTGTATAGGTGCTCTGGATTGTGGGGCGCGCAGTTGTTTTTTGATGGGCTTAGAGGCTTAAGAGCGCCCCCTATAGCCTGGAAAATATGATAATTGAAAGAAGGGTTCATCTAAAGCCCTCTCTAGCCAAATATGCATGGATGACATATAAAACCTCTTCAAGAATGTTTTTGTAACATGGTAGAAAGCTCTCCAAAAAGTTGATTTTGTATAACAGCTCCAGTGTTGGGAAGGTGACTTTTAAAATGTATTCTCCTACAGATTACAGATTACATACACCAAAATGTAGTTTGTAACGGAATCCATGAAGTTACTTAAGGTGAATAACATAATCTGAATACTTTGGATTACTTGATTTTCTGTTGAGAAGCAAAGACGAGGAAATCTTCACATAAGATGTTTTGTCTGATAAAAGAAAATAAAAAAAAAAACAGACTTTACTGAACCGTATTAAAAATATTATTGATAGAAGAGGAGGAGACACGTTAAATCCTGTTAAACCTGGTTTTAGTCCTGGTTTAGTCCTGGTTTAGTTCTGGTTTAGACCTGGTTTTAGACCTGTTTTAGACCTGGTTTAGATCTAGTTTAGATCTAGTTTAAACCTGGTTTAGTCCTGGTTTTAGTTCTGGTTTAGACCTGAATTAAAGAAAAAAAAAAGGGATATAGCCCAAAATGTGAAAACAGGAAAATCCCGCTGTGTAATAATAAAGTAACTGTAATCCAATTACCACTCACTGAAACAGTAACTGTAACTGAATACAGTTACTCATAATTTGTACTCTGATTATGTAACTCCGGTACATGTAATCTGTTACTCCCCAATGCTGAACAGCTCCTCTTAAATGAACATGAACGTGCAGGTGTGGGTCTTGCAGGTCTTGACTAACCCTGGCTGCTGCTGTGTGTGTTTCCTGCAGTGTTCTGTGAGCTGCGGCAGTGGCACACGCTGGAGAAACGTAACCTGCTCCAGAGACACAGGCGCCGACTGCGACCTCCAGAAGAGACCCCCCTCGCTGGGCACCTGCCACCCCCGCGACTGCCCCCCTCCGCAGGACAACTTCGACTGGTCCGGGAGCGGCTGGTCCAGCAAAGACATCCTCAACGAAATCAACTCCATCCCAGATATCAAACCGCCCCCAAAGTCCGCCACCACCAAAGCGCAGCCCAAACCCCACCCGGACGTGAATGACATCATCGAGGGTGACTTCCACTACCACAATAACATAGAAAGCACTCATGTCTCTCAGGAAAAACGCGTAAAAGTGGACGATTTTTACTACGATTACAACTTCATCAACTTTCACGAAGACTTAGCCAATGACAATGATGTTGAAAGTGACGGAAAATACTCAGGGAATGAAGACTTAGCTCCGAAACCAGAAAGCGTGGAGATGACAAGTCCTCCTACGTTTGCTCCTTCAACACCTACAAACTCCATTCATAAAGATACAGAGCAGAGCACAGACTCTGACAGTGCCAAAGTCAACATCATCGCCTCAACAAAAAATTCTATTGAGAAAACGGTGAACAATATGGACGACTTTCTGGCTGAAGATTATCTCCTGCCAGTTTCCACCACCCGCTCGCCTCCATTGTCCACAACAAATGACCCACTGGCAAGAAAAGGTGAAGACATAAGCGATGCAAAGTCAACAAAGAAGAGGTTACAAGACTCAGAAATGAATGGTCTGGATGAGGAAGGAAGCTACGAAGACATAAGTACAACGCCAGGGCAATATGTGACTTCTTCACCTGGAGTCACAATAACTGCCAACGTTGCGCAAGAAGCTACAAGTTCTCTACAAGTACTCGAAGTTTCTGAGTCCCAAACTGTAGAAACTGTAGAAAACACATTATCGCCAATTGAATCTCTATCGGTAACGAAACTGAATGAAGAAAATTCAGAAAATCTTGGTGCAACCCCTTCTTCTGAAACAGCAACTGGAAAGGAACTACCTCTCGGAAAGCAACCTACGACGCTTCAGCCACGTTCTACTACAACTGGAAGCTATTCTGAGGATTCTGTCGATTATGAATACGCTGAAATTCCTTACATCTCAACAGCAACAACCGGGAAGGCGTATCCTGGCATTTCGCAGCAGTATCCCACGGCGACGGCAGCTCCGGTTGTAACAGAGCCTGAACAGAGAGAATATGCAACACCTGCTACTTGGCTTTTATCGCTCTTCCCGTCCAAGGCGCCGCGAGCTAATGCCCACTGGGTCACCGGAAACTGGAGTGCGGTGAGTGTTTATGTAGCTATCACACTGCAGGTTGACATCATTTTATAACCCAAAGTGAAGTTTTAAACTGCCTATATTACTCAGTATTCAAGATTTTGTCTCTGAAAGGGAAACAAGCTAAACTAATTCTATCCTGATATAAAAGCGAAGCAGACACCAGTGTGGCCAGCAGAGAGAGTACGGAGTTGTGTTGTTATAAGGAAAAGGCTCCATATGGATAACACTTGGAACACTTTTCTAGACATGGCCTAAAACTTTCCATGGAAGGTTAGAATGGGACCATGAAATATCTTGAAATGCAATTTATTTTGAAGACAAAACTAAATCTAGAAGTAAACCTGGACTCAGAGGCAAAAGTAGACAGCTGCCTAGGGCCTCCAAACCTAGAGGGGCCCCCAACCAATTGCCGTCAGTGCCACTAATGGCCAAGGCCTCGGAGCAATTAGATTTTTTCTCTCAATATGACATTAAATTAGAGTGTTTTACTTTTAAACAATAATCATAAGGTAACACTTTATAATAACTACACCTTATTTAGCATTAATAAAGCATGAACAAAGACTTAATTAATAATGATTCATGCTTAGTAACTACTTAATTACTACCTGAATTAGCACTTAACTTGCACTTAATTCGTCTGTGCTGTAAATAGTTACTCAATACTTCTTAATTACTCATGAACTAACCATTTTCATGTTTACAAATGTATATTTAAATACACATTTGAGCATTTATTAATGATTAGTAAGCTATGAGAGAATGATTTACTAATAATGCAATGCAATGATCATTCATGCAGCTGTTATCTGTTAGTTAAGTCTTTCTGAGAGCTTTTCTAAAGTGAAGACTAATTATGCTTTATTAAACATTTGTTAAGGTTGGTCAAATTCCAGAGAAACAATAATGCATTATTAGTAAATCATTCTTTCATGGTTTACTAATTATTAATAAATGCTCAAATGTGTACTTAAATATACATTTACAAATGCACACACAAATGGTTAGTTCATGAGTAATTAAGTAAGAAATACTTATGAGTAACTATTTACAGCACAGGTGAATTAAGTGCAAGTTCAGTGCTAATTCAGGTAGTAATAATTAAGTAGTTACTAAGCATGAATCATTATTAATTAAGTCTTTGTTCATGTTTTATTAAGGCTAAATAAGGTGTAGTTATTATAAAGTGTTACCATCATAATCATATGTAATGTATTTGTATGTAAGCAAAAAATAAAACTACTTTCAGTTCTGGTTATCTAGTAGGCGACCTGACTAATAAATAAATAATAATAATACATTTTTCTTAACACGGGAGGCCTCAAATAATATACAAAAAGTGTGGTATGCCCTGCCTCACAGGAACTGAACACAATCTGAGCTGTACCACTGGAGCAATGCAGTAAAGAAACTCAAGTACTTCAAAATAATATAGTATTTAACATATGCATAACTTTAAGAATATCTCTGTGTGTTTATGTGTGTGTGCTTGTGTGTGTGTGTGCGTGTGTGTGTCTGTGCATGTGTGCGTGTGTGTGTGTGTGTCCAGTGCTCGACCAGTTGTGGCCTGGGGGCAGTGTGGAGGTCCCTGAGCTGCAGCACAGGCTCGGAGGTCGACTGTGACCCCGCCAAGAGGCCCGCCCCTGCCCAGAGGTGCTACCTGAGGCCCTGCTCCACCTGGAACCTCGGACCCTGGACCAAGGTAAACTACTTCAATTTAATATCACAAATAAACAGGCTAGCTCTTAAAAATGGGATCTACTACTTTTCTTAGCTTTTTTATTGAAATTATTTAAAATAAAAATGTATTTATTTATTTATTTATTTATTTAGAGACAGTGACAGCGCACAGGACAGATGAGTTGTACCAGGTTGTAGCACCAGTGTTAATTTCCACCTGTTCTTTTCATTGTTATTACAATGTCCTTCAAATGATTAAACAGAAACTCCAGTACTCTTCAAAGCTATTTATCTGAAAGACTAAAGTGTTGTTCAAGTCTCAAAGGACATATAGAAACTAAACACCCAACATTGTTATTTAAGACATGAGGAAATCCAGGCACTCCAGTGAAGTAAAAGTCACACGAGGAGGAGTTTTCTTGTGCCTGGAGCGCCTGAATTTCGATGTGTCTAAAGATTTGATCCTTTTTCCAAAAGCGCCCTCTACCTGTTCTCACTGACTGGAACACCTCCAGCAAACAGTCACAGTTTTGTTTTGTTTTTTTAAACTATTATTGTTATGTTTGTATCAAACAGGAATTGCTGTCCTTAATTGGATATAGTATTAGCATATCCCTCTGAGCGTGTCCTCTGTGTGTGTGTGTGTGTGTGTGCGCGTGTGCGTGTGTGTGTGTTCAGTGCTCGCGGGCCTGTGGAGGAGGAGTGAGGATGAGAGATGTGCAGTGTTTTGACATGAGAGACGCTCGGCCCCTGCGACCCTTCCACTGCAGAGCCACGTCCGTGCGGCCCCCATCTCTGGCCCCCTGTAACCTGCAGCCCTGCCTGGACTGGTACACGTCGTCCTGGGGACAGGTGAGGAGCAAAGACACTCCAAAGCAGCAGCAGCAGCAGCAGCTCTGAGGGCGTATGAGGTCATCATGTCTCTCTCTCAGTGTGAACAGAAGCAATTAACCCTAACAACCCATAATCAATATCCTGTCTGCATGAGGTTTCAATGTCACTTGGTGGTTTCCACCTCTCCACTCTCTTTTTAAAGTAGTTACCATTTCTATTACAATGTTGTCTCCAGGAGGCAACTGACTCAAAGGCCAACCAAGTCAAATCATCAGTCAGGGTGTTTTTAATGGAGACGTCCACAGCCAGTGGTCTGTGAGTAAAGCATGAGCGTTAGAGCAGAGTTCACACTTTCACTGAATAAATGTGACTGTTTTTTAAAATTGTACTGACTTAATATCAGGTTTGTTCATATTATTTACAATAATATTTTAAAAACCTAGTACGCAACATTTAAAAAAAATCTCTACTGTAAAAAAAAAAAAAATCTCCACAGTATGGCACAAACCCATGGACTCATACAAGTGACGTGTAACCTCTAGAAAGTCTTTTTATCTCAATTAGAACAAAATATAATTAATTGAAAATTGTGATCAATCGTGATCAATTAAAATGAGAAAACAAAATCTTTATGCATATATTTTTACACACAGCCCTAATTGGAGCTGCACAGTTTCTATCCACATGCAGAGGTGTGACACTCAGATACAGGCTACAATAAACCCACGGATTTCAGGACATGTTTGTAAAGATCTAAACTACAGCTTAATCATGTATTTAATATATTGTTTCTTTACAAAATGGACAAAAACCTGTGATACTTTCTGGTTGCATTAAAAGATGAAAACGCTTTAGGCCAGTGGACATTCTGCCCATGCAGAGGGAGGAGGGAGGGGTCTGTGTCAGGGCATGTTTAAAAGATCACAAGGCCAGAGGAGGATGAGAAGGTCAGCAGGTCAGCAGGTCTGATCTGATGGGACAACATTTACTAAACTAGTGTTTCACTTTCTACTTTGGGTTTCTTGGAATAACTTTTCATACATGGTCCAAAGTTATTCCTTACTTGCCTAAGCCTGGACTCAGACTGCACACGGTGCAGCTCCAGTGGCTGTGAGGAGTTTGTGTAGTTCAGTGTGTGGAGGAGCTCAGGGCACATGTGCAGTCTGGTGGTGCTGGTGGAGCTGCTGCAGAGTTCTGGATTCATTCAGTTGGGTTGTATTGTTGGACAATGGAGTCACCACAGAATGTGCCTTCACAAATGGTGTGAACACATGTCTCTGTGCTGCCTTCAAAGACTCGGACACAACAGCACAGCAGAGCTCTGGTCGTTTGTGAATGCCACAATAATCAGACCAACCCCACACTGAGCTGCAGCTGAACTGGGCACAGTCAGAGCTCGGGGTTATGCATTCAAAATTATTAAATTTAAAATTTATGAGCAGTTTATGAGCAGAGTTTTGTCATTACTGTAAAGTTAACAACAACTAGCATGCAAGTGTACTTCTCATTATTAGACTATAAAATGCTTTATAATCAGATGTCTGTCATGAGTGAGAGGGGATATTCCATCAAAGGCACATCACAAGTCCAGGCTTATCCTGAAATCCTGAGCTAAAACTATTATATCTTTGTCTCCAGTTTAAGCCTCAAGTCAGGCCTGAGGTTTAAGACGACCTTTGTGCGAACTCCACTGACTTTGAGAAGGCCAGGTCATTGAAAATGGTCTGAAAAGAACAATCGGTTCTTATGTTTTTTTATGATCTGACTAAATAAAAGTGAGGCCAGAGTGTGCGTGGAGAATAGCTTTATTTTTAACACATAAATCTTTAACAACAGCAAGGAGAACAAAGAGAAAGACTCCTCCACCTGCTGCTCAAATGTGCTCACTTTTCACAGTTTTACCAGAACCAGTCGTGACAATGGTCAGGCCTCCTGTGAAAACTCAGAACCTCCGAATCACTAGCAGCGACTCATGACTGGTGCAGGAGCTGGGGTTTAGGGAGAGAACATTCAGATTAGACACTTTAGTTTAAACAGACTGGATTTCAGCTTGGAAACTTGATTTGACCTTGTTTGTTACCTTGTTTGTGAGGACACAGAGAAGTGTGTTATGAAAAGTAATCAGTGTTTTGAAAGATTTCCATTAACAACACACAGAGGTCAGTAGTGATGTGTTCATGTGTCATACAGGATGTGTCCTGACAGAGTTTTATCCAAGGATACAAGGAACAGCCCAGAGTCATGTGAGGTCTGATCGATACATCTGTGTGACCTTCTGTTGCTGTCGCTCCTTTCATAGCAGATGCGGGGGGGGGGTGTCTGTGTGTGTCTGTGTGTGTGTGCGTGTGCGTGTCTGAGTCTCTTCAGTCAGACTCTGATATGTGGCATCAGGAAACACTATGGGAACAGTCAGTTCTCAGGACTGGACAGATTTTTTGACTAAACCACTCCATGTCCATGTCCTGCACCTCCATGTCCATGTCCTGCACCTCCATGTCCATGTCCTGCACCTCCATGTCCTTGTCCTGCACCTCCATGTCCATGTCGTGTTCCTCCATGTCTTTGCACCTCCATGTCCATGTCCATTTTCTGCACCTCCATGTCCATGTCCTTCGCCTCCATGTCCATGTCCTGCACTTCCATGTCCTTGTCCTGCACCTCCATGTTCATGTCCTGCACCTCCATTTCCATGTTCTGCACCTCCATGTCCATGTCCTGCACCTCCATGTCCATGTCTTTGCACCTCCATGTCCATGTCCTTGCACCTCTATGTCCATGTCCTTCACCTCCATGTCCATGTCCTTGCACCTGTATGTCCATCTCCTGCACCTCCATGTCCATTTCGTGCTCCTCCATGTCTTTGCACCTCCATGTCCATGTCCTTGCACCTCTATGTCCATGTCCTGCACCTCCATGTCCATGTTCTGCACCTTCATGTCCATGTCCTTGCACCTCTATGTCCATGTCCTGCACCTCCATGTCCATGTCCATTTTCTGCACCTCCATGTCCATGTCCTGCACCTCCATGTCCATGTCCTTCACCTCCATGTCCATGTCCTGCACTTCCATGTCCTTGTCCTGCACCTCCATGTCCATGTCATGCTCCTCCATGTCTTTGCACCTCCATGTCCATGTCCTTGCACCTTTATGTCCATGTCCTGCACCTCCATGTCCATGTTCTGCACCTTCATGTCCATGTCCTTGCACCTCTTTGTCCATGTCCTGCACCTCCATTTCCATGTCCTGCACCTCCATGTCCATGTCGTGCTCCTCCATGTCTTTGCACCTCCATGTCCATGTCCTTGTACCTCTATGTCCATGTCCTGCACCTCCATGTCCATGTTCTGCACCTTCATGTCCATGTCCATTTTCTGCACCTCCATGTCCATGTCCTGCACCTCCATGTCCATGTCCTGCACCTCCATGTCCATGTCATGCTCCTCCATGTCTTTGCACCTCCAGGTCCATGTCCTGCACCTCCATGTCCATGTTCTGCACCTCCATGTCTTTGCACCTCCATGTCCATGTCTTTGCACCTCCATGTCCGTGTCCTTGCACCTCCATGTCCATGTCTTTGCACCTCCATGTCCATGTCCTTGCACCTCTATGTCCATGTCCTGCACCTCCATGTCCATGTTCTGCACCTCCATGTCCATGTTCTGCACCTCCATGTCCATGTTCTGCACCTTCATGTCCATGTCCATGTCCTTCACCTCCATGTCCATGTTCTGCACTTTCATGTTCATGTCCTGCACCTCCATGTCCATGTCCTTCACCTCCATGCCCATGTTCTGCACCTTCATGTTCATGTCCTGCACCTCCATGTCCATGTTCTGCACCTTCATGTTCATGTCCTGCACCTCCATGTCCATGTTCTGCATCTTCATGTCCATGTCTTTGCACCTCCATGTCCATATCCTTGCAACTCCATGTCCATGCCAATGTGCTGCACCTCCATGTCCATGTCCATGTCCTTCACCTCCATGTCCTATACCTCCATGTCCATGTCCTGCACCTCCATGCCCATGTCCTGCAGCTCCATGTCAGGAGTTGATGCAGGACTGACCAGGATTCAGTGCAGCACATTTCTTCTTCCTGTGTCTATTGAAAATACATTGTAATTAAAGTGTGTTTATCTACATGCTTAGTTTTATGCAAGGACCTGATTTTTTTCCATGTATTTGAACAAATGTGTCTTGCCCAGAACAGCTCTTAAGGTCAGAAGAAGTGTGTTGTGTACTGTCTGGATCTAATTACAATTTTCTTGTCTGATAATCAGGAAGTTGTGTTAGTTGTTATCTAGAATGCTCGGAATGTAGTTCTCTTTTTCACATTTTTCATTGTTGTTTGTATCTTGTGTGTTGTATGTAACATGTGTGTTGTATGTAACGTGTGTGTGTTGTATGTAACATGTGTGTTGTATGTAACACGTGTGTTGTATGTAACACGTGTGTTGTATGTAATGTGTGTGTTGTATGTAACATGTGTGTTGTAAGTAACACGTGTGTTGTATGTAACGTGTGTGTTGTATGTAACATGTGTGTTGTAAGTAACACGTGTGTTGTATGTAACGTGTGTGTTGTATGTAACATGTGTGTTGTAATGTAACACGTGTGTTGTATGTAACATGTGTGTGTTGTATGTAAACGTGTGTGTTGTATGTAACATGTGTGTTGTATGTAACACGTGTGTTGTATGTAACATGTGTGTTGTATGTAACATGTGTGTTGTATGTAACACATGTGTAGTATGTAACATGTGTGTTGTATGTAACACGTGTGTTGTATGTAACATGTGTGTTGTATGTAACATGCTGTGTTGTATGTAACATGTGTGTTGTAAATGTAACATGTGTGTTGTATGTAACATGTGTGTTGTATGTAACATGTGTGTTGTATGTAACATGTGTGTTGTATGTAACATGTGTTGTATGTAACATGTGTGTATGTACATGTTGTAACATTGTGTGTATGTAACACGTGTGTTGTATGTAACATGTGTTGTATGTAACATGTGTGTTGTATGTAACTGTGTAACATGTGTGTTGTAAGTAACATGTTTGTTGTATGTAACATGTGTGTTGTCTAGAACATGTGTGTTGTATGTAACATGTGTGTGTTGTATGTAACATGTCTGCTGTATGTAACATGTGTGTTGTATGTGTTGTGTTGCAGTGCTCAGAGGTGTGCGGTGGTGGGCAGCAGCAGAGGATGGTGACGTGTCCAGAGGAGGACCAGTGTGACCCAGACCATGAGCCAGAGCACATCCAGAGGTGTAACAATCAGCCGTGTGCACAGTGGCTCACGGGCTCCTGGGGGCAGGTACAGTACACTGCGAACATTTTATTAGAATGAAAAAGAATTTCACTTCCAGAGGCTGAGCAGGCAGGGCACTTGTGATTTTCATAATAAAATAATATGGGGTCATTTAATATAAAAAAGTGTGAACTAAAAATTAAATAAAGGTGCAGGCCTTTTAATATCAGAAGAATTACTGTTATAAAGTTCTACTTGATTTTTACTTTAAACCAAACCAAAAATAGCATCAGATTTTGTATAATTTGCTCTTCTTCTTGTTTGTCTCTTATTTCAAAATTCAAATCATGTGTTTAGCTGCACACTCATCATACACATGTATTCTCATGTACAATGAAGAACGGCTCCACAGAGAGTCCAGTTTCACTGATAAAGGCTTTAATGATTTATTTATGAAAGTGAGTAAACACCTAAACTCCCCAAAACCACATATAGTGTATGAAGTAGAGCTGCTGAAGTGGGCAGGACCTGGAGGAGTAAAGAGGAGAGTGAGGGAGGTGCATCCTGGTGTATCACAAACACATGGCTGTAATCAGAGCAATCCTGTGTGATGTCACCAACTACTGGACATTTCCAAGCAGAGCCCCTGCAACCCCTCGACGCAAAACAGGGTGGCACGGGACATATTTTGAAAGCTCACTGCGAGCACAGGTGGGAGCGGGACTACACAACACAGGAGTGGGCTGGAGGGATGAAAAACTATAGTCCCGCAAACTAAATATGAGAGTAAAATATACAAATGATGAATGTAAACACATCACCTATCATTTGTGCTGGATATTTTATTTGGCATTAATAAAAACATTTTAAGCAGCAGACCATCCCCTGTCCCGTACGCTACGCGGACAGTCCCCACGTCCCGTACGTTGCACAGACAGTCCCCACGTCCCTTACGGTGAACAGACAGTCCCCACGTCCTGTACGCCGCACAGAGAGTCCCCACGTCCCTTACACCACGTCCCGTACGCCATGCGTCCCGTACGCCGCGCGGAGAGTCCCCCCGTCCCGTACACCGCGCGGAGAGTCCCCACGTCCCATACGGCATGTGGAAAGTTCCCCTGTCCCATACACTGTCCCCCCCCGTCCCCGTCTCGTACGCCACGTAGACCGTCCTCCCTGTCTTGTACGCCGCACGGGCAGTCCCTCCTCCCATACACGAGCTGCGCCACTAAACCAGAAATAAACCAGGACTAATCCAGGTCTAAAACCAGGACTAAAACAGGACTAAAACAGGACTAAAACAGGATTTAGTCAGGACTTAACCATCCCACCGCACCGCCCACCGCGCCTCCTTCCATACTCAGCCTAGTTTCTTTCACTTCTCCGTGATTGATAGACTTTAAGAGGGCAAATGTTCCCATCCTGCGGGACTTGCAGGCGGGAGCGGGACAAAATATTGCAGATGTGGGCGGAAGCAGAACTGAAAATTGCAATTCTTTGCGGGAGCGGGACTGAAAATTCTGTCCCACGCAGACCTCTATTTCCAAGGCCACTGAAAGCAGCACGGGCTTGGAGGAGTTGTTTTTTAATTATTTTAGTTTTATTTTTTTATTTTAATAATGAAAATAAAACATAATGATCTGTGGGACTGTCATGTTAGTTTGGTGACATAAGTGCACTCTTGCTTGTTCTGTGGACGTGACTCATTTCCTGTGACTTGATGAAGACCTCTGATAGAAGCTCAGACAGGCCTCAGGGGACACTCCAGACATTAGAGGCTCTGTGTGTTTTCTGTGTGGCTCCTGTATGGAGAAGGCCTGGAATAGTAACACTCAAGACTTGTCCTGCTGATTGATTAAAGGGGGGTGTTATAATTTTTTAGCTCTCTACCATGTTTACATTGTTAGATAGATAGATAGATAGATAGATAGATAGATAGATAGATAGATAGATAGATAGATAGATAGATAGATAGATAGATAGATAGATAGATAGATATGCTTTATTGTCTGTCTTCTTTGACAATGCACAACGTTCATCATAAAGACATACAAAGATACATTTAAAAAACACATCACAATAAAAAAAAAAAAAAAAAAAACAGTGCCAGCGCTTGCCTGATGGTAACAGTGTGAAGGAGTGGGTGAGAGGAGGATGAGAGGAGGAGGTATGGAGGAGGTGAGAGGTGAGGAGGAGGAGAGGAGGAGGTATGGAGCGGGTGAGTAGAGGAGGAGAGGAGGAGGTATGGAGCACGTGAGAGGAGGATGAGCAGAGGATGAGAGGAGGAGGTATGAAGTGCCCTCAGTGATGTGAGTGTTTTTTCTCCTCACTGAGTGACTGTAGAGTTCTGACAGAGGGTTTAGATTCTGTTCGTGATTCTGCCTGATTTATGACACAGAAGAGTTTGGATTTGTGTTTTACTGTCAAGAACTGGCACCAGAATGTGAGACTGAAGGTCATGATGATGATGATGATGATGATGATGATGATGATGATGGTCTCTATAAGTGATATGTCAACATGCTGCTTAAAGCGCAAGGCAGTGTCAGTTTCAGGGTATCTAAAGAACTGCACCTGCTCCACCTGCTGACCCTGTGGTGAGACGCTGAACCAAAACAGGTGCGAACTGTCCTCTAGGCACAGTACAGTTCCTTTGTCTTGGAAATGTTCAAATAGCTAACACCTGGAGCAGAGCGTCCACCTCCTGCTGGTACTGGAGCTTCAGTGTTCACCACATGATCCATCAGGACCATGTCTGCATATTTCAGCAGTTTCATCTCTGCCCTGCTGTGCTCGATGTTATTGGTGTATATAGAAAAGAGCAGGGGAGACAGAACACAGCCCTGTGGGTGCCCTGTTTTTAAAACCAGTGTGCTGGATTTAATACCATTTATGAATCTTGAGAGCAGAGAGGCAGTGCAGCAGTGTGTCCATGTGTACAGTGTTGAAAGCAGACCAAGAATCCATGAATAAAATAAAACCTGGTGTATGGTCAGCCAGAGTCCATCTGCTTAGTGACAGAGTTCAGAAGAGTTAGGCTCACATCCTCAACCCCTGGCTTTATCATATAGACAACCTGGAGCAGATCCAGTTTGTTCTGTAACATCCATGTCAGTTGACAACTCACACTTCTCTCTCCACACATTTGCACAGGATAAATGACTGAAGACAGATGTCAGGGTCACTGGGCTGTAGTCTTTTGGATCAGTAGCGTGTGTGTTTTCAGGGATTAGAATCAGTGTGGATTCTTTCCTCAGGTCAGGGACATAGCTGCTGTTGAGGAGCAGCTGGAACAGTTTGGAGAAAACCCCACCTAACTCCTCAACAATCCTCATCCAGAACACGCCTGAAGAGGTTTTAGATGTCATCCATGCATGTTTGAGTAATCTAGCAATCTCTCTTGGGCCCTATTCAAATCCTCCTTACAGTTAGCTGTAAAATTCGGTGGAAAGCTCCACCCAGAAGCCTACATCACTCATGCTCCCACACCACAAAAAAAAAACAACTACACGAACCTGATGTGATGTGCAGTAGTGTCATTAGTGGGATATACGCTGTTTTTGTTGTGATAGACCTCTAAATTCACACACTCACACATTCACACATGTTTAACACACAAATCCTGCACCTTCTCAAATAGAAACCACCTTGTGATGTCATCACTAATACAGGAAGTGCTCCACTGTGTTTCCATACAACTCCGTGCACCTTCACTAGAATCATTTGGATAATTTCATGCCTGGAATTGGTGATATTTACTGAACAGAAGGTTAAAAAAGGAGCTATCAATTCAAAAACTATCACTACATGACATCAGAAGGTGGAACAGAGCATTTTGAGCTGCGGAGATGTAGACAGAGTAATAAACCAGGATTACTCTAACGTGTATGAATGAAAAAAAACACAACTCCAGGTCTGTTTCTGAGGAGGGAACAACATTCTAACATGACTTAAAGTACCAAAAAATAGCAAATCTTCATCTAACTCATCACTTTCTTCTCCTTTCTGCTGTTGCCCCATATAAACCTTTATTATCTAAATAAATTCACAAAATGACAAAATGACTACAGTCCTATAAAATTGAGGTCATCACTGATTCCCTGTACTGAGCGCACACAAACACACTGCTGTATTTCACATCTCCAGAGCACGTTTGCAATTCAAAGGTGCATCTGAACATACACAGCTCCTCACATCCATGTCCCAGATTAGAACTCCTATTCTTTTCCCAAACATCCCGTAATAAGGCGTGTTGAGCTCCGCATGGGTCCAGCGTGGATAGAGGGGATAGAAAAAGCTCTTCTTTCTGATACGACCTCTCTGTGATACTAATCCTCCAACTCATCTGGAGCTGCATATAGTTCTGTATATAGGCCCTGTGGATAGGCCCCCTGCTGGACACACCCACAAGCACATGGGGCTGGAGCGTGACATCTGACCGTCACCATAAATGTACCTTTCTGTCTTTTACCTGGTTCCTGCTGTAAAACTGAATCACTTTTATTTCACTTTTTAAATCCTCACACTCTATGTATTTGGACCTCTGCTATTGTTTAATTATCCTAGCACGAGTACTTAAAGAGGAAGTGTTTTATTTCTTTGGGGTATTAACTTCGAACACATAATACAGGGTGTCCCAAAAAAATTGACATAATTTTAAAAGCTTGACTGAAAGGATAAGATCATGGATGCAAAAAAATGGATACGACATGAGTTTCCTCCGCAGGGTGGCTGGGCGCTCCCTTAGACGTAAAGTGAGGAGCTCAGTCACACGGGAGGAGCTCAGAGTAGAGCCGCTGCTCCTCCATGTCGAGAGGATCAGCAGAAGGAAGGGCATCTATTCTGATGCCTCCCTGGCACCTCTGGGCATGTCCCACTGGAAGGAGGCCCCAGGAAAGACCCAGGACACCCTGTAGGAACGATGTCTCTGGACTGGCCTGGGAACACCTCAGAGGAGCTGGAGGAAGTGTCCGGGGTGTAGGAAGTCTGGGAGTCCCTGCTTAGACTGCTGCCCCTGCAACCCGGCCCCGGATAAGTGGAAGAAAATGGTTGGATGGATTTTAAAAGAAATTATCTTGAACTATTAAAAAAACTATTAAAGTCCAGCTCAATGAAACTGACCAGTTTAGGTGTTGAACATCAGAGGTTTTTCTGTGGGAGTGAACGGCACAACCTGAAAACATAACAAAAATAAAACATTAAACATAAAGTCTTGATCTGTTTCTATATATTCTAGGAAAATCTGAGGTTTGAGGTTATTGGCCTGTAAATCTTTTTGGGACACCTTGTAAATTTAGAGCACCATTGTATAAACAGTGCATAAACATGTTTTATTAAGTTTCAGTTTCGTATTAAATTTTCTGAGTTCCCCATCCCTTTACTTCCTGCGCTAAGTCACTCCCCCTTCAGAACGCTCACAACACAATCAATGTACATCCCGCTAATGAAACTACAGCACATCGCATCAGAAGTATAAAGCATATAAAGTTGTAGTGTACAATTTTGTATCATGTTTTTGTATAATTATGGAAAGTGTGGTGTGGGAGCCTGGGTGACGTAGACTTGTGGGCGGAGCCTTGTACAGAATGTTACAGCTAATCATAAGGAGGATTTGAATAGGGCCCAAGAGAGATTGCTGGATTACTGAAACATGCATGGATGACATCTGAAACCTCTTCAGGCGTGTTTTTGATGAGGGAACAATGTCATAACATGGTAGAAATCCTTAATATGACCTCTTTAAACAAAAGTTCTATGTATTGAATTAGAATAGTCACACGTTCCTGACAGGACATAGCAAACAGCTTTCAAAAAATGTTATTGCAGCATTGGTGGTGTGAAGCTGTTGAAAGAGCTTAGAGCAGTACTTGTGTTGGTTATTGGCATAGCAGTAAATAAACTGTTGTAAAGCACTAAACCAAACAGATGAAGTGGATGTGAAGTGATGCTGTTGTGGTTGTGACAGAATCTCACTGAGAAGGAACAAAAGTGCTGCACAAAAAGCTCTATTCTGTATTTATTTATCTATTTATTTATCAGTTATAAAAATGTGGGAGAGGGTTTGGCATTAGAAGAACTTTTTACTTCAGCCTAAACTCTTTCAGTCATGATCCATGGGGTTGTAGTCTATGTTTTGTTTTGTTGTGTAGTGCTGCAAAATGACTACTACTAAACTACTATTACCATATTTTTCATACTATAAGACACTCTGGAGTCTAAGTCGCATCTCCCAAAAAATGCGTAATGAAGAAAAAGAAAAAAGTTGCTCTGGACTATAAGTTGCACTTTTTTGGAGAAATATATTTTATAAAATCAAAGACCAGGAACGGACATTTCCTGTTGAAAGTCAAGTTGTAGTAAAAACAATAGAAGAGAGAACAACAGACTGTTAACGTCACATATGAACAGTTCTTCAGATAAACTATAACATAAACAACAGAACAGAACAAGTTTAACAAACTCTCCATCTCACTCCAAATCACTAAATCCATTCAATTCTTCATCCTCGATGTCACTTCTGAACAACTCGGCCTCGACCTCCGGAGGTAAACAGAGCGCCGCTTCCTCTTCTGTGAAACTGTCGTCAGACTCAGCATCAGTTCCAGTTAGAATTATTCGGGTCTTTCTGAATCCTGACAGGATGGTTTACAGTGTCACTGAAGTCCAGGCTTTGTCCATCCATCCAGTGACTTCAGGAGAGTTTCATGGTGCATCCTCCCGGTGTCACAAGTTTCTCTCTCACGCCAAACTTTCTTTTTTGTTGTTCGATTATCGTTTTCAGCTTCAGATTTCACGACTTGCAGTTTGTAATCTGCAAAATCTGATTTTCTTTTTGGGGGCATTTGTGTTCAGTCTTCTCAGTCGTCTTTATAAGTTTGTTTAAATGTTACATTTTCAGTGGTGCAGAAGTAATGATGCAATCGACTGACATGATACAGACAGGACAGAGGCTCTTTCTGCAGGAGACATGTGCAGTAGAGTGAAGTATGAACAGGAGCAGCAGATACTCACACACAAGACTAGAGCCTGTCCACGCTTCACTCTCAACAGTTTAATATATAAGTCGCACTGGAGAATAAGTCACAGAACCAACCAACCATGAAAAAAGTGACACTTATAGTAAGAAAAATACAGTACTATTAAAATTATAAACACTAACGTTGTAGTCATTGTAGTGCTGCAAATGGCCAAATAAAAACACTCCGAAAAAGCCTGTTGCCAGTGCTGCTGTGTGATGCGTGTGTCCTTGCCTCTGACAGTGCTCTGCCTCGTGTGGGGGAGGCCTGCAGCTTCGCCTCATCAAATGTGTGGACACGAGAGAAGAGCCGGCGCAGGAGCTGGAACCGTCTCACTGCAACCAGGAGCCCCAGCCCGACAGCACCAGGAAGTGTGAGCTGCAGGAGTGCAAGAGCGCCCCCACTGGTCAGTACAACACACACATGTAGGATTTGTTCAGTTTACCAGGGGTGGTGAGAGGCTCTATTCACACTTACGTCACAAACCAGGAAACATGCAATGACAACTTCTGGTGTAGTTCCCGACTCTGGGCTCGGTCTGGTTAGAATAGTTGATGAGCCAAACATAACAGAACCCTGTAATGACGTGGAGATGAAAAAAACTGGGACATTTTCTAATTTATCCTAGATTTTGTCAGACTTACTACCACAAACAGAGCCCGCCGGAAGTTGTCATTGCATGTTTTGAAACGTCTTCTTGGTTTGTTTGTAGAAATTGCTATAAGACTGTGCACGTATGAGAAAAATGATATTGTGAGATTTTTTTCCTCACATTTTTATGTTCAGCTTGGGGCTATAAGGCTAAAAATGTTTAATCAGAGACTACTGGAACAATGTAAAAAAGAAAATTGAAAGTATTTGTAAGGAAAAACTAAATTTAGATTTACAGCTATGTATACTGAGTATTATACCAAAAACTAGGTCTCCAAAAAACAGGAAAAAAATTAGGAAAATGCTTTACTCATAACATAAAATCTTACCAGTCTTACCAGCTATTTACTGCTTTTTATAAAGAAATACAGTTCATATGATGCAGAACACAATATTTTCTGTTTCTCATGTTGCCCCATAGCAAAAATAATTGCCCATCCCTGGTCTTAAGTGACAAAAACTTTATGTGACAATATGAAATGATTTGAACATTTGCGTTTCTGGCAGATTTTTGGGTCTGTCCTTTGACAATACCCAACTTGGTGCATTTGTCCACCCACTACAACTACTTACTACAATAGATGCAGATGTCCATAGTACTCAAATAAGGCTATAGAAGTGCAGGGTCTCCAGACGTTCACAGGCTCTTTGTGGACTGGACAGTGGAGTGTGACCTCCTGAAGCTCCTCATTCAGAGCTCAGTGTCATTATGCAGACGTTTTGCTGTTCCTTTGTCCTCTCCACACCTGTCAGTCAAAGGCCAGAGTCTCACGTGTACTGTGAAGTACTGCCCACGTGCACCAGCCCATCCTCCCTGTTCAAGGACAAATACTATGCAAAGTTTACTTTTTTGAGCTTTTAACCAAGTCAGAATATTGCTCTCTCCTCCGAAACATTTGCTTCTTTTTTTTTTCTGACAAGCATTGCGATTGTGAGGAGATTTGCGGTGTATGTTTGAACTTGCTTGTACAGATCGTACAGGCTTAGCAGATTTTGTGTTTGTGGAGTAAATTATGGTGCTTCAAAGACTGCATCCTTTGCGGTTTAATAAGTGTGTCCATTAAAAGTGTGATTTCGATTAGACTGCAGTTAATCTAGCAGCCGTACTTGGAGTTGTAGTCAGCTTCATTCACCCTGGTTTCAGCAATCCTTTGTCTCAGAGAATTTTCCCAGGATTGTTGCATCACTGGTAGACACCTTGTGCAGTTTTCATAAATCATAGATTGCATGATTGCATTTTTGCCGTCATTTTTACCTCCTAACGTCAGCATGTAAGGGCATGTTTGTGATTTGCGTAGGTTCGTAATTCTCACTGCTGCCAATAGATGAAGCCCTACAAATTTCAGCATGGGGAGCGTGCAAGATGGAAAATGTTTGGTTCTATACATTGTCATGTCAAGTTGTAAAACATGATGCCAAAGCAAAGGAAAGCTACTAAAGAACACGTTTAAAACCAACTACAATACAGATGTTGCAGAATATTTGTTCTTTAGAGGTTCTTTATGAAGTCTTCACTGACTTTCCAAGGTGTAAATAACCTCAGTTATTTATACTGTTTAGCATATGTATAAATAACAAGACAACAAGAGATATCTTCATAGTGCTGTGCAGTTTTAATAGTGATTCTGTCGTTTCTAATGGTCAGTGAACAGTTTGGATCCTTTTAACAGAGAGGCCAGTCCTTTGTTATTAAAAAAAAAAAAAAAACACGTGGTTTGGAGCAGATGGAACACTTTAAAGGAAGAAACTGGACTATGTATAATGGCCATGATGAAATAAGTGTGTACTGTCTAAACCAGATATGTCAAACTCAGGCCCGGGGGCCAAATTTGGCCCATGATCTAATTATATTTGGCCCATGAGATCATATTAAATATGTATTAGAGATGACCCGCTGGCTACAGATAGACTATAGAGACATGATTTATTTAATATGTTGTTAATATTTTATATTCTGCTTGTTCTGGATTCGATGTTAAAGCAAAACTATTATTAAACATTTATTTGAATAAGAAAAGGTTGAACATTACAGATCTCAAAAGAAGAAAAAATTTCCAACAAATATTTAGTTTGGCCCACAACTTAGTCCCAGTTTTTAATTTTGGCCTCTGTGAATTTGAGTTTGACACCCCTGGTTTAAAATGTTTTACTTGTTTTAATCAGACAAAATTAAATTGAATAGAAACTTGTGATAAACAAAGGAAATCCATATATGACTCATTTTTATTTTAATGAGAAAATAACAGTCAAGTCCAGTATCTCACCATTTCTGATGAAGCGCAGACTAGAGGCTCGTTGGCTTCACACAGTTTCCTGGAATAGTGGCATTTGTGTGGTGCTTATCGGGGCCAGCTCAGTCCTGATGTCCCCACAGCGTCTGAGAGGCTCCCAGGCCCGATGACATTTTGAAGGCCTCTGAGCTCCAGGAGTCTTATCCACACGAGCGTTTGATAAGAGATGAAAAAATCTGTGTGTGACGTGTCTCTGCTGTTCACCGACAGAGGGTCCACACACACTGTAGTGTACTGGAGAGGTGGGCCATACTGACAAAAACTGCATTATCTCCATCACAATGTTCAGATAATATTTTAAAGAGGAGGTATTTTACTTTTATGGGGCATTAACTGCAACACGTAGCATACTTAGATCACCATGTTACCTTTCATTGTTTTGAAAATGCTGTATTCATGAAAACCATTACATACTTAAGAGAGAGGAGAGACTGGGACTCGGACTGGGACCAAAAAACGGCTCTGGATTCGTCCCTGATAAATTGGCCACAGAAAAAATTGAGGGGTTGGTGGAGGGTTGAGTTGGTCCCAATCGCCTCACGTTCTTGTTTGGTGTTCATGGTGTTAGTGGTGTTAGTGGTCATATCTCTCAAACCTGTGAAGACCTGAGTGTAATGGGTTTTGTTCTGCCAAACTTTGGTAGCCTGATTCTTCAGCCGGTTTCAGTTTGTTTCACTTCGTTGCCAACACGGAATGTCTGGCTCTTCGCTGACTGGCTGGTGCCCGAACTCACACTTCTGGGGTTTTTGCGACCCATCTAGTGTATTCTGATTTCTGACCTAGTCACTGGAGAGAAATTAAATTGAGTGGAGGCACTAGGTGGTGCCAGCTTGGCTAAGACTTTGGTACTTAGCTGACAACAACACACAAAGAGTCAGCTGATCAAATGAGTTGATTTTAGTGCTCCATGGAAAACAGAGGAGCTCATTGGTCGTCTATCATTTTCTCAGTAAGGGTCTTGTTTTTCACTCATTGATTCTATAGAAATCTGTGATGTTTTTCAGTCCATCGTGTTGTTTTCCTCAGCCTTCATTTTTTTCTCATGTTTGTTTTAATTTGAATGGACCTTGTGTCTTCTGATTGGCCGATCTGCTCATCATCACACCAATCAGAACACAGACACAGGGAGCACATGCAAACTCCACAAAGAAACAGAATGTAGAAGGGTCTGGCTGGTCACAGGTGACCAGATGTCCCTATTTACCTGAGACAGTCCCAGTTTTGAGCCCTGTGTCCCCTGTTGTGATGGAGTAGCCCCGTCAAAGCCCGCACAAGCCACTTACCTGTTGTCAATCATTTCGCTCCTTTTTCCACTGCGTTTCCTGTTCCCATCCGTCCACTCTGTTCCCCGCTACATTAACCATCCGTTTACCACTGCAGCCGACTTCAGTGCCTTTCTGTTTCCGTCCTCGTGCGCGGGACATTGGCATCTGATGTCATCATGATGTCACTGCAAAATATCACTTCCCTCAATAAACTATCAATATTATTTCTCCTGGTTCATGACCATGTTGTGTGAAGTATTTTTCTGCATTTTTCTATATGTTTGTTACTATGATTCATTTGGGTTTCAGTGGTGAAAACACATATTTTTGGGTTAATTGACTTGGGGGAGGAGCCTGGGGGGAGGGCCACTCTCCCTCCCTCAGTCAGTTTGGACCTGGACTTGTACACTGAAGCACTCTTCAGACTTTTCTTTTTTGGGAACGTTATTATTAATTAAATCATCAAAACATCCTTCTGACTAGGCCATCATCATTACCCCAGACTAGAACCCCGTCACACCTGTCCTCGCAGAGTTAAACAAAACCAGTGATTTGTCCCAGGACAAGAAATGTCCCAGGTGTTTTTTACCAATCTGATCCTTGTCAACAGTAAAGAGAGACATAAATTGTCATTTGTTTTGGTAAAATACAGAAAAGCTGCTTAAAAATGATCAGAACACAAAGAAAATGTGCCTAAACTGACTCACATGTTAGTCACGAATGGCCCGAGTGCAGAACAATTTTCCCTAATAACGCACTCGATTCACAATTGTATTATTATTAGGAACCACCCTAAACTGGGGACGTTCCAGTTTTTGATTTAGAAAATCTGGTCACTCTATTTTATGGCATTCTTCAATTCAACCTGAGGACTTAAACTTTAATAAGACATTACCGAGTTACTCCAGAATACCGAGAATTCTGTGCATGTCAGAGAGGAGCCCAGACCGCCAATATTATTATAAATTTCACGTGGACTCTACATGTGAGGGTAGAACAGCACTTAAGGGCGTCTGTGGTATTTGATCCATTTTACATGTTCATTAAATTAGATTAGATTTCCAATTATCAGTGCATAGTTTAGTCCTGAGGCGTGCGTGTGTGTGTGAGTGTGTGTGTGCGTGTGTGTCGTGTGTGTCTGTGTGTGTGTGTCTGTGTATGTGTGTGTGTGTGTGTGTGTGTGTGTGTGTGTGTGTGTG